TCCAAGGAGTTGGATTGTGGAATGTTCTAGAGAGTGATGTGAAAAATGTCAAGTCAATGTGAACATTTAAGAAAAAGATCAAAGCTGGATTGTTAAAAAGTATATATGAAGTAGCTTAGTGTGTGTTTTGTATTAGAATTAGAAAAATTAGAAAGTTATTCATTTTGTTCTGTTACTTGAAAATTATTATGATTGAAATAATTGTTTGAAAAAAGGGGCAGATATAATAAGATTTTTTCTTCTTTCTGCTGCCTTTCATTTTAAATCTTTTGTATCTTTTTTATATAGTTATGAAACTTTTGTATTTTTAAAATGAATAAACTTTATACCATACCATACCATTAAAAACAAGTCTCTCTTGTAAACGACGAGGCTCAATGAGACTAACAACCTGTATAAATAAAGACTGAATTGAAATTACTATTTTAGAGAGCAACAACAATTAACAAGCCTGTGTGTGAATATAGCTCCAATTCTGTCAAGCGTCCTAGCCCCCCCTCCCCCCCCCCACACACACTGTCTGACCTGAACTCTGCTGAATTCAGTCCTGCGTCTTGTTCTGCTCCAATCTCAATTGCCACTGCCTTCAGGTGCTTGAATTTAGTTGTCCAGCTAAGGACAATCCATCCATCCATTTATTTTAGATAATAAAGTGGACTGGCTCTTCAGCATTTTGATCGCTGCTATTTTGAAAAATGAGTGCCGTTGTTTTGATACGTGATGTTAATACACGTCAAACATTTCACTTGTTTGCTTGGTTTTTTTACTGTAAGCTTATTTATTATGTCTGAAATGTTATGCACCACGGTAATGTATGCAGGAGTTCCGACACAGCAGTTGTTCGCATGTCCTGCAGAGCTGTCTGGAGAAGCTGTGCGTAAAACAACTGTCTCAGGGCGCACAGCTGGAGGAGGTTGAAGACGCTCCCCGCGGGACAGGAAGTCCGTGTCTCTGCTGGGCAGGAGCGTGGTGCGGCCGGAACATCCACTCCACAGACTGGGCAACGTCACCTCTCGTATTTTTAATAAATAATCAAAATAAAAATGCGCGATGACTTTGGACTTTTAGGGGTGGAGAATTTTGAGTAGCCGGATCTGAGTGGTGAAAATGAGAGAGTTCCCGGATCTTGTTCAGGCAGGATCCGGCTCAAATTAACCACTGGTTGTAGCTGAGAATCACTCACAGCACATACTCCGGCTGTGACACCTTGTGATTTTACAGAAGATGATGTTTAAGGTTTCTTCATGGTTGGACCAAAAAAACCTCAAATCTGTTATTTTTCCTCAATGATCTTTGTCTGAAAGTGTGGCATAAATGTTGGATGGTAATGCTATGGTGACCAGACGTCATCGATTTCCAGAGTCAGTCCCTGTTTTTGACAATCTGTCCCCAGCTAAATGTGTCCCCAGAACTGTCCCCAATTTTAGCGTTTTATGAATGACAAAAAAAATGTTGCAAGTAGACCATTATTACAGTCGCTGGGTAGAAAGCGTGAGTGGGTATGTTGCTCGCAACAAAAGCTATTACTATAGCTGGTTGAACTGGTGCTGCTGTTAACGTTACAGACAGAGAAGAAGAGTCAAGTGCGCTGCCTTTAAAACCAAAGAAGAAGAAGCGCAGCGCAAGCTCGTCACCACTGACGGGGAACTGTCCTCTGATATTGTATGTGAGAACCGATTTATTTTGTTTGAACTGGGCTGATCCTAGCCATGATAAACGTTTGGTTCATGGTAGGAAATGTTTCCAGTGTTGTCAGCTGTGTCCAGGTAAAAAAAAGGGCTTAGGTGTGTCCTGATACATGCTCAAAAATCCAGGTAGAAAATCTAACAACGTTAAGTCAGGCCCCCTGGACTGATTCAAAACAATGAAAAAAAAAAAAAAAATGTTGAAACATTTCGTCTTATATCAAAAAGACTTCATCAGTCTGAGGAGCTGCACCAAATTATCATCATTATCTTTACCCGCTTCTTCTTTTTCAGGTTGTGGGGGCCACTGGTGCCCATGTCCAGTAATCACTGTGCAAGAGTCGGGGGACACCCTGGATGGGTCTCAAGTCCATCACAGGGACACATGAAGACAAATGAGACAAACAACCATTCACTCTCTCTCTCTCTCACCTAGGGACAATTTAGAGTTCCAATCAGTCTAACATGCATGTTTTTGGTCTGTGGGAGGAAACCTGAGTACCCGGAGAAAACCCACATGTGCACATGGAGAATATGTAAACTCCACACAGAAAGATTGTGAAGCAATTCGGTGGCTGAAAATATTAAAATGTCTATATATTCTACAGATATTAAATATTTTACAAATCTGTAGATACCATTTCATTTGGTAGTAGCTGAGAATGACTGAAAACATATTTTAAGTGTTAACACATCTTACAATATATGTGAGACTGTGCATGACTTTCTTTACAAGGTTTATCAAATTGACTATAACTAGGGACGCACCGATCCACATTTTTTAACGTCCGATCCGATCCCGATACCAAAAACGAGATATCGGCCGATAGCGATACCGTCCCGATATCATCATCATTATTGATTTTATATGAGGCTGTAATAATCTTCTCTCTATAGGCAAGTACAATTTGTACAAATGTACACATGTCCAAAAAGGCAACATGAGGTAAGTTTTATGAATGTTGGATAAGTGTGAAAGTTAAGTCCTGCTAACACAAATCATGTTTTTTTTTTCATTCCTAGCTTTAAAGTGAATATTAAAGTGATTAAATGGCTTCAAACACCTGCTAAGTTCATGGCATAAACCAACACAGGCATGTTCCTGTTTTTAGTATTTTACATCACTTTATAATGTAGCTGTATTTTTTTTTTTTTTTTTTAATATATAATTTTCTTGTAATTTTCAAATCATGTTTTTTTATGATTGTCTACTGTTTTACTGATACATATCTCCTGGAGGGTAAACTATATCTTGACTGCAAGTATGAAGCTGTGAAATCCTTCGTTTTCTACAACTGATAGTGGTCGGTCATTAATTATGATGAAGTTCAGCAGCTTCTAGGTAAATATTCGAGTTCCGGGGCTTCAGCGATGTGTTACTTTCGTTCAGTCCGGAGAAGGCAGTCTGATTTCGGTCAGCCGCGCTCAGTCTGCCCCTCTTCCGAGACGGGGCAGATTGAGCGTGGCTGGCTGGGATCGGGCTGCCTGCTTGGGGTTGAACAAGAAGAACACACCGCTGAAGCTACGGAGCTCGAATGTCCAATGTAAAACTAACTTTACCATGGTTTAAAGT